TTGTAGTCTCTTGAGTTAATCTTGCTAATCATGTTTGCACACCTAACAGTGCCAGCTTTGCATGGTACTCTGAGGCACCCTTGATAGGATCTCAAAGCACCCAGGATGTTGTACGCCCTGGTTGAGAATCACTGCTTTACAGTATTGGAAATAATAGTAGTAGCATTAATGTGATACTGTGGAAACATTAGCATGCATTATTTTAAACTAATATAATCCCATCAGCTGGGAGAGTGACTCAGAGAAGAAAAATCTTAATAGCACCTGCAGTGTCTTTCCTCGAGAAGTCTTGTTTTTAACAAGGAAGTCAAATGTTTACTATAACAAGAAAATTAAAATAGAAAAAACTCTTTTCTGATTGGCTGGCAGTCTGGTTTTCTGACTGTAGTGTGTGGGGATTTGCTTCTCCATTTTCCAAGTTTCCTCTCTCTTTATCCTTTCCTTGGGCATCTGTGTAAGAGGAGATGTGATGTGCTTTTAAGTTAGCTGTTTGTTCTCCAGAAGCAGGTTAGGACTTGCTGTGACTGTTTATTGGTAGAAGCAGCACCTTTTAAAGATAAAGCTGAACTGAACTGGCACTTGTAACTTTCATATTCAAAATACCTTTTAAAAAGAAATCTTTAGCATGTTCTCCCCTTGAGAAAGGTGAGGCCTAAGGGTAGGTACATTTTAATGTGGCTGTGACATTTACTTCTTTTTTCACTTTTGTATGGCATCAGATATCAACTTCAAGATCTATGAGTCGCTGTCTGGTGTTATTGCTCAATGTGCGAATTCTATCTGCCCCATCTGGGCATTTGTAGAGATTGCAGCTTTGAATTAAGTGCAGTGTTGTTTGTTGGACACTACGTTCACACAGGGGACTGCCCAAGATGTTCATCTTGTGAAGTTGTTTTGAAGTGTCCGTATCCACATCTCAATCTTCTGTTGAGCTTGACCTGTGCTCCTCTGTCAAAGGCATGCCCAACAGGGGACTTGTTTGATGTTGGTATAAAATGCTCTAGGAATAGCTCTGACCTTTCCCAGTGGTTGGCCCCACTCAGTTACTGCCCATAGGTGGGGTTCAGCACCCCCAATCTCTTCCAGGAGCTTGTGGGCTTCATCTATAAATAGTTTACAACTTTTAAGCCTCCATCTATCCAGGTCTTTAGTTAACAGTTGATGGAGTAGGTGATTTTTGTCATTTATTGTCTCTATTACCAGTAATGATGTTAGGATCTATCTTCTTATATCATTTAGTCTAATGCCTGAGGGTACAGGGAGGGCATCTGTGTGTATGTTGTGCAGCCTATTATGAGTCTCAGCACACTGGTAAGTACAGTGTTGAGGTTTTAAGTTTGACAGCTTCTGGATCATACATAAGCACAATATTCTGCTGGGGCTTATTGGATTTTTTCTCCAATTTACTTCCTCTAAAAACCAGGACTTGCTCTTTACCTCTATTTATGTATCTGTAAAATGAAGAGAATAAATTTGCTATCCAGGTAGTTTTAGGTGGCAATCAGCTAATTTATGTTTTAAGTTTTAGTTGATTAATTTATTTAATTAGTGTTGACACTAATATTAACTAAAATATGAGGGACTAAACACAGATGATGGTTTTATGTCTTGGTTATAATCTAAGACTCATGTTTTATAATCAAAGACTCATGTCGCAGTAATCCAGAGGTAATAAAGACCCTTTTCCGTTCTGAATAGTCTTGTTCTTTTACATACCTAGGTTATCTATTCCACTGCTCTTCCCTTGCTGGGAAGCTACTTTTGATAGTATCTCTGGTCTTCTAATTTACAGAGAGAAGTAGTTAGCTATGGTAGTTTGAAGTCAAGTAGAAGGCAGGATGGATTTGCATGTTTTAGACTAACCAAACTTGCAAATCTACCCTACCTCTTAATTTACAGTCCTCCTCACTGACTTCAAGTGTCTGTTTTACATGTGGAGTTGTACAGAAGCCACTGTTTTATCTTGTATTCAGTTTAGATTATTTTCACTTCTTCCCAGACCTAACAAAGAGTACATTGTTCCCAAAAACTTGCCTAATAACTTTTCCAGCTGGTCCAGTAAAAGTTGTCACCAAAAAAATCTTGCTGCTCTCCTATTTCTTGGACCATTACAGCTAGAACAATAGTCCAGTTCAGTTTAACAGTTCTGTTAATTCGCTAATGTTTATAAAGTGTTTTCAAGATACAAAGCATTTTGCTATTATAAACCCTGAGATTTGTATTATTCTTTTTCTATACAGTGTTGACAATTTTGGACTTGGTCTTTTACTTCAAAGTAAGCAGATAAAACGCATGATATCTTCATATGTTGGAGAGAACGCAGAGTTTGAACGGCAGTATTTATCTGGAGAACTGGAAGTTGAGCTTACACCTCAGGTAGGAGGCTTTCTTTAAAGGATCAGTCAATTCTTTAAAGCTGTAATGATAGATGATGCTAATCTTATTTTCTGAAGATATCTTTTCTATTTTAATGTTGTTATGCAGTAGTTATGTTTCTCTTATAGGTAGGGCTGTGTTGTAAACACACCTAGCAGTTTCTCAACATTTTGGAGTGGACTGCTATTGATTTGAGAAAATGGATTGCTCATTATGAAGTGTTGTGATTTTTGGTGATAAATTGCTTTTCTAAAAAAAAAATGACATGTTTGCTGTTTGTTAACATCCACAGTATGCTAGAAAAACAGGGAGGGCACTGATTTTTTCCCCACATGGCTCGTGCTCATAGAAAATTCAGAGGCAGAGAGTTCAGTACTCTGGAGATGAAGAGTCAGCTTTGGGAAGGGAGCCAGGAAGTTACTGAACTGGGAAGTCAGGAGTTCGGTGTGAAAGTGAGCAGAGTGGAGCAGGAATAGAAGATAACCCAGTCTGTGGAGATGAGGGAGGAGATAACTGGGAAGAGGAACAGAGGGTGAGAAATGAATCCTAGGCACTGATGGACTGGGGTCAGGAAAGGGTCAGGTGGGGGGTAATGGTTGGAGGACAATGGTGAAAAGATAAAGTGGGGCAGACAACAAGGCCCAGATGCACCTTATAAACTAACTTGGTGCTTTTAACCATTTTGGGCCCGTGGGCCAGAAGAGTAGTGTGGGGCCAGTCCATGGGCCAAATCCACACGTGGGGTTAGTGCACAGGCCTGGTCCAGTGCATGGTTGATGCACAATGTAGGTCTGTAGGTCTGATCCAGTGTGGGGGCAGAGTTAGTTCATGGGTGTGACCAACTGCATTGGACATGGCCATGGAGTGGCTAGTGCACAGGACCATGTCATCCCAGCCCATGGGGCTCCTCATGGGCCTAGAAATTTGATGGCAGGGGAGCAGTGTCAGTGTCAATTGCCATGGGGCTCTGCTGTGGCAATGAATGCTGCCATAGCTCCGTGGGCTGGCTCCAGCACACTTGCTGTAGGTGAATTTGGGAGACTATGTGGTCATGTGAAGTAACAAGATGAGTGAGAGACTGAAGGAAGTAGGGTTGGGTATTTGACCGGTCAAATAAAGTTTGGTCAATTGACCGGATAAATATTTGTAAAAGATAGCAAAAAATTGCCAATAGGTCCAAACAATACACAGAAAAGCACAATTTTTCCATTGATGTCAAGAACAACAAAAAATCATATTTCTGTCAAGAGAATTATGAAAATAATTAGCATTTCTACAAAAAAATCTACACACTGTCATGGGTCAAAAATATGCAGTCAATTGACTAGTCAATTGACAATATGTATCCAGTCAACTGACCAACTTGCCAACCCTAGAAAAAAATAAGCCTTAAATTATAGACGGTGTCTTGTAAAAGTGTGTTATATAAGGGCATGCAATTACTGGTAGTTTTGAATGCAATTGGTGAAACAGTCTCTGGTTGTAGTCTGTGCCACAGGAAAAGGTTTGTATTTTTGCAGCTTTGTATATGAGAGTAGAAGTAAATATATAACGTCTGCCACCTTGTGGAAAAGATTTAGAATTGGAGTTTTGTGTGAAATGTAGAAAGACAATAACCAATTATTATTTTAGTAGTACTTTTATATTAAATCTGAACATGCATATATTTAATTGTTTTATCATGTATTACTTATACACTAACCTTTCAGCCTAACATAGCTACGGCTCAGGAATGTTGGGTGCAAGGCTACAGTAGAGTGCCATCATTGATCATACATCTGTTTAGATCTGACTGTAAAACTAGCTGCATAAAGCTAGTTTTACAGTCTTCAATATAGATAGATGTATTAAATGATTCTAAATGTGGAGCCAGTTACTAAAACATAATCTCTGAAATCCCAAAAGACTAGACATACTCCCAGAATTGAGGACATTGTTAATTAAGCCAGGAAGAAGACCTGAAATCCTGTGCTGTGGAAATCTGACCCTTGCCATGTGTATACTACAGGGGTGGGCAAAATACAGCCTGTGGGCTGCATCCGGCCTGCCAAGCACTTCCCTCTGGCCCACAGAGCCCCTTCAAAACCCAGGTAATGGCAGCCGCCCCTCTAAAAGCCTCCAGCGGCACCAGCTGCCGGCTGCAGCACCTCAGGCTGTTTCCTTGGGTTCTGGTTGTGAGGCAACGGACCCGGACCTCGGCTTGCCCCAGCTGGCCTTGCTCCGCTCCTGGCTCAGGTCATGTTTGCAGCTTGAGAGGGGCGGGGAGCTGGGCCAGAACCTGTGGTGCCGGTGAGGGGAAACCGTGTCTGGGCCAGCTTCTGCCTCCTGTGCGGGACTGGAAAGGGCCCTGCCCCGCAGGTAAGCCCAGGAAAGCGGCTTCTGGGCAGGCTTTCCCCATGCCGTGCTGCTCAGGCCGTGCAGGGTCGGGCTGGGCTGTTACTGGGGAGGGGAAGCAGCAGCTGGGCCACAGCTCTGGCCCAGTTAGCACCAGGGAGGAGAGGTGGCAGCGGAGCCATGTGCTGCTTGGGATAGGATGAGCCCAGCCGGAGCAGCAGGGGCTCAGCTGCATTTTCCCCCTACTCCACTGGTCAGTCCCGAGCGGCACACGGCTCTGCCGCCACTTCTGCTGGTTGGTGCAGACCTGGCCAGGCTTGCCCTGTCCCCAGCAGCATGTGGGAAGCTGGCTTCAGCTGCATGCTGCTCTGGATGGGACGTACCCATCTGAGTCTTCACAAGCCAGGAAAGGCGGCATGCAGCTGAAGTCGGCTCCTCATGTGCTGCTCGGGATGGGAGGAGCCCTGCTGGAATGGCAGGGGCTCAGCTGCATTTTCCCCCTGCCTGCACCGGTCAGTCCCGAGCGGCACACGGCTCTGCCGCTGCTTCTGCTGGCCGGAGCTCCTTGCATCAGGACTAAAATTAACTCGTGAACTCTTCCACCAAATTGTTCTAAGTTCATTTCAGAAGCTTGTCCGTTAAAAGTCATTGCTTTGTAAAAGGACTCTCATTCACATTAGTTCACTGTGGAACGCGTCTCAGATGTTTGATATCTTGGTGGATGATGCCATTTTATTTTTCACCCAGAAGCAGCCGCGGAGCTGTGTGCCACTTGGGACTGACCGGTGCAGACAGGGGAAAGTGCAGCTGAGCCCTTGCCTCTCCAGCCAGGCTCGTCCCATCCCAAGCAGCACACAGCTCTGCCGCTGCTTCTGCTGGCTGGTGCAGATCCGGCTGGGTCCGTCCCATCCAGAGTAGCATGTGGCTGAAGCCAACTTTCCAGGTGCTGATGGGGACGGGATGAGCCCGACTGGATCGGCACTGGCCAGCAGAAGTGGTGGTGGAGCCTCCTCCTTTTGGGACCAGCTGGCACAGGTAGGGGGAAAGTTCTGGGGGAGGTCTGACGCCCCTGAAACCCCACTGCTGGGGCAGGATGTTAGAGGGGGGTCACAACCCCTTGCTACCTGGTAAGTTGTGTAAGGGGAGGGACTTCCAATGGTAGGGGTCAGGGGGTGGGGCTTCTGGTGGCAAAGGTCAGGGGTGGGGGTGGGGCTTCCAGTCCCAAGAGGGTGACCAGGGGGTGGGGCAACTGAAGGGGTGGGGCTACTCATGCGGCCCTCGACAGCTCGCCAAAACTCATCAAGCGGCCCTCTGCCCCAAATAAATGCTTGGCCCTGGTGTACTGTGTAATCATTCTTGGCTCTAGGCTAGATGCTCCTTATCAGAATCCCAGACACAAATGAAGAAGCATCCAGCACCCTTTTCTACCATGGGCTGCTCCTTATTCTTCCACCACAAACATTTTCTATCCTCCATCCCACTCTATGCCCCTTACTCCCTCCAACCTCACAATCCACTTTTCCTCTCCCCACTTCATAATCAGTAACCCCACCTTGAAAAAATAACTTCACAGATGTTTTTGTGTGAATTAAGTTCTATGACAATTCTGGGCCTATGAAATGTAAATGTTCAACAGTAAAATTCATTAACACCTGGAGCAACTTGCTAGATGTAGTTGATCTTCCATAACTTTAGATGGGCAATCCATATTTACATCAAGATTACATATCTTTCAAAAAGATGTAACATTTAATCAGTCAGAAGTCATGGGTTTTGTACAGGAATTAGTGGGTAGGGTGGGATTTGATAAGTTGTATTATGCACGATATTAGACTGGATAATGATGATGACAATAAGGCAGGACAGAATGCAGGTGAGGTGGTGGAAACTGCATATTAAATTTAACAGAGCATACAGTGATCTTCTGTTCATTCAAGCTGACAACTTGGTGTTCTTCCTTTGCTGTCTCCTGTTCAAACTAAAAAGCATTGCTCCTCAACTGGAGAATGGTCTTGAAAAGAGAAGACTGAAGGGGGTTTAATAAAACCTTCAACTACCTGAAGGGTGGCTAGAAAGAGGATGGAGCTAGACCTGGGTGGGCAATTATTTTGGGTGGAGGGCCACTTACTAAGTTTCGGCAAGCCATCGAGGGCTGCATGACAGGCAGCCCAGGGAAGATTAATATTAATTTTCTAAAATTTTTAGGGACCCTGCGGACCGGATAGAATGGCTTGGTGGGCCGCATCTGGCCTGCAGGCTGCATTTTGCCCACCCCTGAGCTAGACTGTTCTCAGTGTCTCAGATGACAACAAGGAGAAATGGTCTCAGATTGCAGCAAGGGAAGTTGAGGTTAGATATTAGGAAAAACTTTCATATGAGAAGGGTAGTAAAATACTGGAACACGTTACCTAGAGAGGTTGTGGAATCTGCATCCTTGGAGGTTTTTAAGACCTGGGTAAACAAGGTCTTGGCTGGGATGATCTAGTTGAGGATAGTCTTGCCTTGAGCAGGGGGTTGGACTAGATGACCTCCTGAGGTCCCTTCCAACCCTCATTTTCTATGATTCTAACTCTGAGTGTTAGCAGCTATCCTTAAACCAGTGGTTCTCAACTGGGATGCTACAACGCTGGCACTACTGGCATGGGCAGAAACTGCCCTATGTGCTT